AAAATAGTCGACCTAAAAAATAATTAGAGACAAAAATGAATAACTTTTTTGAAAAGTTAAAACTTAAAATATAGTTATTTTGTATAGGTTAAAAACAATTTTAATTTAATTATCAAAGAAGAAAAAAAACAAGACATAACGGCTCTTAACCGTGTGGTCCCCACAGAGTTGCACCACTAACAATCTCCTTTAACCATTATGCCATCCAGCTTTACACACATTCGCACTCTCACACCCGCCAATCATTACGTCAACTAATTTATCGCCTATAACGTTCACTTTTATGTCGGCTTCGTCGCTTTCTTCAATCTCCTTCACAAATAAATATCCTTTTCTTATTTTCCATTTATTTATTTATTTATTACATTTTCTTTCTTTTTCTTCTTCTTTCACTTCATTCTTCAACTCAGTACTTCTTCAACCGTCAATGCCGACCTTCGCATTTTGAACTTCCCACTCAAAAACACCTCACTCACTCTCTACATTTTCTACAATGCTGGACGCACTACTCGGAAAAACCTTCGCCGCTAAATGGTTCGCTCCGTCGCTTCATTTTCATTGCATTATATTCTTCTTTTTTTATTCCTTTGTTCATGAAGTGAATTCAGTTCAGAGTGTAGTTATATATGTTTCTGTTATTGCTTTTCAGTAAACCGTTACTCAAATTAACCAAGAATCGGATTGAAGTGATAAGAAGGAAGAGAAGAGCTACGGAGAAGTTTCTCAAGAAAGATGTCGCTGATCTTTTACACAGTGGTTTAGATATCAATGCCTACGGAAGGGTAATTCCTTTCTTTTTTTTGTGTGTGCATTTTCTGGATTAGGTTATGTTTGATTCTTTGTAATGTGATGTAAATTGCGAGGTTTTTTGTGCTTATTTGAGAGTTTTTAGTTTTGATTGTGTTATGGAGTTATTTCAATGAGTTTTGGTTTTCTTGCAATGCGGTGAAATTAACAGGCGGAAGGACTCTTGGTTGAGTTGATGCTGTCTTCTTGTTATGGCTTTGTGGAGAAATCGTGTGAGCTTCTGTTGAAGCATTTATCAGTCATGCAGAAGATAAGGTAAGAAACTATCAGTCTTTTTTTTTCTTCTAAATTTCATTTGATATTAGATTTGGCTGATAAACATGGTTTGAGAGGTTTTTTTTATTAGTTATGTTAGTGCACATGGGAAGAATAAAGTTTAGTATGTGTGGAATTTGGATAATGGATTAGAATTATGCTTTGGCTTGGCACACTGTTATTTCTTCCGATATTCATTGTTAATAGATATCTCCTAATTGTAGGAATTCTTCATTTTTAGAGTCAGATTTTGTGATTTCTGTCAATGCTGCCATAGTTTATGAAAATGAAATTGCTGTAATGGTCACCAACATCACTCACAGGCAGCACTGTAATTATCAGTGTGTAGTGTATCAATTTACATGCATGTGGCTAAACATGGCTTTGGCCTTTGTGAGTTATGTTTTTCTATGATTTGGTACCGTCGTAAGAATTGGAGTAAACAATATTGTAATAGTGATCTTGATGTGACTGATAAACTGGTCTGAATAAGTTGAAAATTGAGACATTTAGTCGATGTTGTAAGTGTGAGAAGAGGAACATTTGAACAATTACTTTGTGGAATGCTGATGTTGAATTTCTTGTTTTCTTTTTTTATTTAATTTATTTAAAATATTTTTTGGTCCTTATAATTTAGAAATGACATCTGTTTTCATTTTCCTGTACCAAAAGAGTTTAGTTTAATCTGTTTATGTGCCATTTTGATTCTTTGAATGTCTTTATCACTGTTGCCGGGATAACTTTGTGAGGCTGATGTAGAAATACTGTGAAGTACAAGGATCAAGTTGAAAATGTCTTGAAAGATATAAAGTAGCTTTGTGACAATCATGTTCAATTTAGACCATACAGTTCAACCTGTTTGGACTTTGGACTCCAGTAGGTGATATTACAATATCAAAAGATAACAAGGATCAAAATGAAAACAAACAATTAGATGTATATAGACTAATTACAAAACCTTTTATGTACTCTGTCCAAATTTAAAATTAATGTCACGTATGGAGACAGAAAATATGTTTTGACATATCTATAATTTATCGGTTGACAGATATGAATTTATTGTGGACACCTATTAGCTATGTACAGATATCCCAAAATTATAATGAGTAGATAGCCCTTTTATATTTTTCCTTAAAAATTATATAACTTGTTTCGTTTCTTTATAGCGGCTGCCCTGAGGAATGTAGGGTGGCAGTATCATCTTTGATGTTTGCAGCTGCAAGATTTTCCGATTTACCAGAGTTACGTGACCTTAGGAAAATATTTCAGGAGAGATATGGGAATTCCATTGAGTGTTTTGTCAATAAAGAGGTGACTGCTCATATTTATAATTTTATTAGTACTTTACCTATCAATAACTTCTACTGGTTTCTTGCAAGTTGAACAAACTGACTAAATTGCTAATTATCAGTTTGCTGCAAATTTGAACTCAAAGTCTTCTACATTGGAGAAGAAGGTCTGCTTGATGCATGAAATTGCATCAGAGTTTTCAATAAACTGGGACTCCAAGTCTTTCGAACTAAGGATGTCAAAACCGTCTGCATTTGTACAGGTGCAGTCTTCTGTATTCCCTTTTCATTTTTGATTAGCTTCAGTGTCAGATTACGACTTTGAGAATGTATCTAAAACTTTTATTATTCGTAATAAACTACTTGTACAGGACCGGAGTGCGATCATCTGTAACAATTTGTTTGATCATGATAAATCATCATTCAACAAGGATTTTAACCAGAAAGATGTAAAGTATGATGTTATGTTGGAGAATCACAAGGAAGATGTCATCCCAAATATAGATTATCATGATCTTCAGCATCAATCCACTGTCCTTGGAAAAGGATTCAAGCCAATAAATGGTTGTGAAGTTCTTGTGCAAAAGGATGGCCGTGCTAATTCTTTAACAGAAACGGAAGAGGTTACTGCTACAAAGACTGATACAGGCTATTGGAAGGAGGGTAGTATGCTAAAACCAATTGGACGATCATTTCAGGAGAAAACATTGGAACAATTTGAAGATGGTTCCAAGCTGCATGACAATTTGGAGAATACGACTCCCCCTAGAAAAAGCCAGGACACTACAACTCCTACTCGAATAGGATCACGTTTCAGGAGTAATGCGAAGCAACCATGTGCCGATGATAAATCTGAGAGAAAAATTCAAAATGATGACGTTCATATGCAAAAGCCTTGCTTTAGTAATGTCATTCCACCTCCATATGTTAAACATATTTCTAAGCATCAGAACAGAACATCTGGATTCAATATTGTATCTTCACATACTGACAGTGACGGTTTCTTTACATGTCCTTCGGTTCATGAAAACTCTGATGCTGCTCCTATGTCAGAAAGGATTCAAATTGGTTCGAATAAACATGACCTTAATTGGCAGGCAAGTAGACACAAGAGACTGAGCAAACAGAGTCCTAAAAAAGAAATATATTTTCCTGAAGATGATAAAGAAATACCTATGGTAAAACCAAAATCTACGAGGCGGAAGCACTCAAGATCAAGATCTAGACACTATGACGCCCCTAATGTAGATACTGAACTTGTGAGAAAAACAAGGAGCAGAAGCAAGAGACGAGGTGAATCAAGACGTGGTCAGCGAAATTTGTTTGAGGATGAGCGGCATCAAAAGGCTGAAGAAGAAAGAGTAATAGATAAGTTACTGATTCATTATAGCAATAAACCAGCTATTCTAGTGCCTGAAATAGTAAGAAAAAAGTCAAACCGTCACAATGAACATAAAATAGATAATTCAACGAGGGAACTAATGCAGAATGGAAGTGGAGATGGATCTGATGAGACACCAGAGATGGTTACTCTTGCCCTACGATCAGTTTCTCTTCCACGTGAACAAACTAGATTAGTAGAAGCTAAGAAAGAATTTGTCCGTGCTGCTTCTTTTCAGCCAAATAGATCGTATGACACCCGGCATGTGCATCCCAATCTACCTGATTATGATGATTTAGCAACTAGGCTTGCTTCCTTGAGAGGATCATAAGGTTAAGGACAGAAACACAGTTAGTAAATGCTCCTCCCTCATCAGCATGATTGCATTTATTATGATTATCACACTTCATAGGGTGCTTTTATTACAAATTGTTTACTTTTTTGGATCTGTACCAAGTCATCATAGGGTGGTCCTATTTGTGGCCATTGACAATCTCCCACTACTATAGGATACAATTATCAATTCAATTTTTTAATTCATGATTGTAAAAGTAGCTGTAAGTCATAACAAAAATTGATGGCATTCCGACTCTCTTTGGGTTGAGGCTGAAACGATATTGAGATGGGCGCTATTGCTGCAGAGCTTTTGCTCATCCCTTATCCTTTCCCTCCCTTTGTATAATGTTACTAGTGTATTTTATTGAACATATATTATTTTATAGTAGTATAATCTGTACTAATAATGTCATATTATTGTTTTATTGGCCTTGTGATGTGCCTGCTATGCCCTTAAACTGCAATTCTTAAATGAGCATGTGGATATACAAATATAAGCTCGATTTAAAGTAACAAGACCACGCTCCAATGAAAGCACATATGAATCTCTTCCTCACATATGAAGCTCTGGAAGAATGTTTCAATCATTTAATACAGTGCTTGATTATCTACGTGCCTTTCAAATGGATAGACAATTTTGTACTAAATTGGATCTTCTTTAAATATGCAGTGCTTGTCGAATGGAAGCACCAAATACCTATCCATTTTGTTATCTATTTAGTTCTTATTACTTATTACTGAGTCATGTAAATGAAAATGAAATGATTAATCACATATAAATGACATGAGAAGTTTGCTGATACAAAAGTTACCATCTCAGCCACACTTTGGATGAGAGATCTTACCATGTACACAGACTGAACAAACATATGTTCTTGAGTTTAATGTATTACATATCATACGAAAGATTAAAGATATTCCGTTCGTTAAGCTTAAACACAACAAAACAGTCTTCTTCTTGTTTCTCGAGTTCTGCCATGAAGCTTAATTCCAGTTTGACGTGAAGGGTTGGCTTTTGCCAATCTCTTACCTGCAAAACATTTGTTTCTGTAAGTAACGAACCTGAACATGAGCATTAGGTCATCATGGTCTCAAGAATTTGCAGTGGAGATTAATGCAGACAGACGAACAAGGAAATTTCACAACTGTAGATCCATTTGCCAAAATTCATTTTCTGTTTGTATTTCTTATTTTTACTTTCAACTGAAAAACTTCCTCTTGTTTGCACTTTGTTTCCAAAATATTAAAAACGGTTGATGTTAAATTATTGTTTCACCTATTCCATAGAAGAGCTCGTTGACATTCTGTGCTGTTTTTGCTGAAGTTTCAAAGTAAGACATGCCATTTTCTTTGGCATATTCCTCACCCTCCTGTGTAACCAACATATAAATTGCGATAAAATCAAAACAAATTCTTTGGCGTCTTATAGCGGAGTAGTTTATGTTCTTGACTATAGACCTATAAAATTTATAAATAAGCAAACTATGATGTTTAGACTTCAATTTATTGGAAATAATACCTCATTTCCAATTTTTCTCTGGTCTTCCAAATCAGCCTTGTTAGCCACCAAAAACATTATCAAATTTGGATTTGCTGACATAGTTTATCAAATCAAGGAAACTACTAAATTAGTATTCATAATGTACAGTTGTGACAAATTGCATGATCAATATCAGTGTTGTTAAATAGCAGTTTTATATAGTAGCGGAATTTGAACAAATTGCTATTGCTCCACAATATGCTATTTAGTACAAAACGTCAAATAGCATCTATAGTACTGATGTGTAGCAAAATTTGATGCGCCAAATGTATACAAATGTTTCTCTTGTTTGTTCACAAGAATTTTTTTTTTTACTTTTCTGTTACCTTGTCTTTGAACTTCTCTAACCCACTTCTTCGCTCGTACAAAAGAATCCTGAGACAGAAATTCTATCATTTATTCAGTCTGATATGATATATTGTCTATAAAATGTTGCCATAAGCATCATTATGAAAGTTGATATTTATTTACCGTGCTTGTAATGTCGTAAACAACAATAGCAGCGGCCGCACCACGATAATACATAGGAGCCAAACTATGATATCTTTCTTGCCCTGCTGTGTCCCATATATCAAACTTCACAGTGGCTTCATTTAAAGACAGGACCTGAGTGAAGAAGGCTGCTCCAATTGTTGATTCCTGCACGTATTCATGTACGGTAATCCAATTCGAATTATCTATAATGATGCGAAAATGCATAAAGAAAATAAAACATTCATATAGTAACCTGATATTCCGAAAATTGACCTTTGACAAATCTAAGCACCAAACTCGTCTTCCCCGTTCCCATATCTCCTAGGAGTACCTGGAAAGTCGTTGATAGTTTTAGTATCTTCAGATGAAAATTTTCTCATGAGCAAAGGGATATCGAAGGAATTTTAAACCGAAGATTCAGAATCCGAACCCTAAAAACTAACAAGTACTTGTTAAAAAAACTAGATTTTTACACATGAAGTTATTTGAACTAAAATTACTTCTCCAAACTAACATGTGTAACATGTTGTTCTGGCCTAATGCCAAATAGGAGTTATATCAATTCTTTGATGGATCTGATCCTTATTTTACAAATCAAAGGAAGACATACCTACCAGTTTGGCTTGTAAACTCTTATTCCTTGCCATAGCTTAGCTTGATGAGTGGAAAGAAGAAAAAGAAATGACAAAAATTCTTGGATGTAGTACCAGAGATGGTTTTTCAAAGATTGAAAAGAGAACACAAAATATTACAATGATGTGTTAGCAATGACAAATGGAAGAGTTAGAGTTCTGAAAAATGAAATAATATGGGAGAAGAATGGTAGTTTGTTAGTTTGACTGGTGAGTAAGCTGATATACATTTCTTGCATTTATTTTATACCTTTATAAAAAAGTTACTTTGAACCTAACTGATTTGTCAAGTTAGTTAGATGTGTAGAATATACATGTACATACATCTGTGTCAATGTGTGTATGCATAATTGTTCTACTTACACCCCTCTAAAACTCTCTTCCTTCAAAACTTCTCCAAAATCAACTCCCAAACATAACTCTATTTCATAAGATGGTTAGCTACATGTCCCAAAAATTTAAATTTATAATTTTAAAAAGTATGCAAGTTTTGTAGACAAAAAAGATTATGCAAACAATTATTTAAATGAAAGACATTGAGCTTATATCTCTAAACATTCATGAAACATGGTCACTTTCAATGGATGTTTGTGAGAGGGAAATTTTGGAATAAGAGATGAAAGCATAGTTTTAAAAATCGGATCGGACCAGTCGGTTGAACTGGTTGAATTGGAAATTAGAGTGGTAAACGATCTAATTCAATTGTTGGATCGGTCATGTAATAACCGTTAAAAATCAGTGTAAATTGGTAAAAACGAAAAATCGTGGTTTTGAAAAACCAACCGTTTAAGTGTTTTTTTAAAATTAAAACGGCGTCGTTTTTCATTATTTAAAAAAATATTAAAATAAAAATACAAGAGAAAGTTAATATTCTTTTCTTTAAAAGTTGGTGGGAGTAATGTTAAATATAATGTTATGTTGTGGAATTCGAATATACTCTATTTTCTTTCTGTGTGATTAATATTATTGGTTTCTATTAATTGGGCCGAAATGTTGCATAAAGTAAATGATAACATACGTTTGATAAGCAACAAACATAAATTTATATTTGAGATTTATACTTTGATTAAATTTTTAAATCAATTACTTGATTCAAATTTAAATTTAAATTATGAATTTGTGAAATTATGATATTTTAAAATTTTTAAGTGTTAGTGGTTTCTTTTAGATATCGAATCATCCGATTCGACCAGTTTAATACCTATATAATTTTATTATAATGACAGATTTATTCAATTGAGTTTTCTAATTTTATTCAGTTTAGTCATACGGTTCGACTAATAATCAAATGGTCTAATCAATAAATCAATAATCTAATATTCTCATCGGTTCGGTTCGATGACCAATCAATGCTAAGATTTTTAAAAGGAATAATGATATTTTTGGTATTATGGTTAAGTTTTAAATAGATTTTGATGTAATTTGATATTTCTAAGGTATTATTGCAAAATATTATGTTCTGTATATTAGAATATTAATAGTAATTCATATTTATTTAGTTGTACTATTTTCTTAGCCCCTAAGTTTGTTAGAGGGTATTTTAGTATTTTATCTTATTCTAGTAACCCTAGTTTTAGCTTATAAATAGGGTGACAATCATTGTAACTTTTATCATGTTTTTGTAGCCGTTATTCTTAATAGAATATTTCATTTATTCACCTTTGCACCAACAATTGGTATCTAGAGCTCTGGTTCGGATTCATTGGGAAACACGAGTGAACGTGAGGTCTTGTGTGTTTGATTTTGATTCTTAGATTCGTGTTGAATCTTGAACAAAATCTGATCAGAATTTTATTTTGTGGGTTGGGAAACACTGTGTGAGAAATCTGAGTGTATTGTGCAAGGTGAAGATGAACGGAAACGGCAACATGAACACCAAGCTTCTAGTATTTGACGGTAAAAACTGGAATCGTTGGATGATCCAAATGCGTGTACTGTTTGGTGCTCAAGATGTTTTAGATCTTGTCACTGATGGTTATGTTCCGGTAGCAGGAGATGCAACAGATGAACAGAAAAACGCGCAGAAGGAAGTAAGGAAGAAGGATCAGAAAGCATTATTCTTTATTCATCAATGTGTTGATGTAAATGTGTTTGAGAAGATTGCAGATTCAACGACAGCAAAGGCTGCGTGGGACACACTGGTTAGATGTTATGGTGGTGACGCATCAGTGAAGAAGGTGAAGCTTCAGTCCTTGAGAAAGCAATATGAGAATCTCAACATGAAGAATAATGAGAAAGTTTCTGAATACATCTCCAGAGTGATTCTGATCACTAATGAGATGAAGGCGTGTGGAGAAACTCTTTCTGAAGAAACAATCATGGAGAAGGTATTGAGATCCCTTACCTCTCAATTTGATTACATTGTGGTAGCAATAGAACATTCCAAAGATCTGAGTACCATGAGAATTGAAGAGCTGCAGAGCAGTTTAGAAGCGCAAGAGTTGCGTTTGACTGAGAGAACTTCTGAAAGGGAAGTAGAGCAGCAGGCTCTGAAAGCAACTTATGATAGGAGGTATCAGAAGCAGTCAGAAGCCAAGAGAAGATCTGATGGTGGTCAGAAGTCAGAAAGCTCAAACTCTGATAGACAAAAGAATGCTCAGAAGGGAAAAGAGAAGTATGACAAGAAGAAGATCCAATGTTACTGTTGTAAGAAGTTTGGTCACTTTGCTAGAGATTGTTGGTCAAACAAGGAGAAGAAATCAGAAGAAGCAAATATAGCCAGAAGTTCTGATGATGAATCTGTGCTATTGATGGCCTCTGAATCTGATGATATGGATCTGACAGACTGGTGGTATATGGACACTGGCTGTTCAAATCATCTTACTGGAAACAAGAAATGGCTGGTTGACTTTGACTCTGAAAAGAGGACAAAGATCATATGTGCTGATGACAAATATCTTAATGCAGAAGGTATGGGAAATGTCAGAGTGACTCTGAACAATGGGAAAACAGCATTGATTCAGAACGTGTGGTATGTACCTGGCATCAGAAGCAATCTGATGAGTGTGGGACAATTAATTGAGAAAGGTTTTTCAGTTACCATGAAGGAAAATCTTCTGAAGCTGTATGACTACAATCAGAAGTTGATTATGGAGTCAGAACAGGGAAGGAATAGAACATTCAAGGTGAATGTCAGAACTGCAGACTCAGAATGTCTTAGTGCAACATGTGCTGAGAAGGAGAGTGAGCTGTGGCACAAAAGATTTGGTCATTTGAATTTCAGAAGCTTAAAACATCTGAATTCAAAGAAGCTGGTACATGGAATTCCTGCAATTAAGAAGTCTGAGAAGTCATGCAAAATTTGCATGGAAGGAAAACAACCACGATTGCCATTTGCGTCAGAAGTTGCTCCAAGAGCAAAACATGCCTTGGGAGTTGTACATTCTGATGTGTGTGGTCCATTTCCAGTAGCATCAATTGGAGGGAATAAATACTTTGTGTTATTTGTTGATGAATTCACAAGAATGACATGGGTATCCCTTATTAAGTTCAAACACGAGGTGTTTGATGAATTCAAGAAATTTAGAATGAAGGCTGAGAATCAGAGTGGTCAGAAGTTGAAGATTCTTAGAACTGACGGTAGAGGTGAGTATAACTCCAAAGAGTTCCAGAAGTTCTGTGAGGAGAATGGAATTGAGCATGAGGTTACTGCTCCTTATACCCCTCAACACAATGGTCTTGCTGAAAGAAGAAACCGCACTTTGCTTGATATGGTGAGAAGCCTACTAAAGGAGAAGAAGCTTCCTCAGAAGCTCTGGGGAGAAGTTGTTGCCACTGCAACGTATGTACTCAACAGATGTCCTACGAAGAAGTTGAAGGAAATAGTTCTTATGCAGAAGTGGACTGAAGACAAGAAAAGTGTTAGTCATCTGAAGGTGTTTGGTTTTGTTTGCTATAAACATGTTCCAGAAGCCAGAAGAGAGAAGCTGGATGATAGAAGCAAAGTGATGATTCTGATAGGGTACCACAGTACAGGTGCATACAAGCTCTATTGTCCAGAAACCAATAAAATTGAATTCAGCAGAGATGTGATTGTGAATGAATCAGAAGTTTGGAATTGGGATAAGTCTCAATCTGATTCTGATGTTAGAACTTCTGAAGAAAGGTCAGAGTTAAGAATTTCTGAAGTTGAAGTAAACTCTGACGTTGATTCTGACTCAGATAGTGATTCTGACTCTGGAGAAGACTCAGAAGATGAAGGTGACTCTGATGATCCAGACTCTGATGGTAATCCAGATTCTGGTGGCAATTCAGACTCTGAAGATGGCCAAGACTCTGAAAATATGCCAGATCTTGAAGATGGTCAAAGCTCTAGAGGAAGTCAACCATCTGAAGCTGGAAACTCTAAAGCTCAAGACTCTGAACAAGTTCAGAGACCACAAAGAATCAGAAGCGTTCCCAGAAGATTTACAGAATTTGACATGCTGCAAGACACTGAAGTAGACTCTGAAGGAGAAGTTATTCAGTGTGCCATGTTAGTAGACTCTGAACCTATAAGTACAGAGGAGGCTCTTAAGCAGAAGCCCTGGATGAAGGCCATGAAAGAAGAACTTGATGCTATAGAGAGAAACAAGACTTGGAAGCTGACAGAACTTCCAAAAGACAAGAAAGCCATCAACGTCAGATGGGTTTTCAAGCAGAAGTTAAAGCCAGATGGCTTAATTGGCAAACATAAAGCAAGGTTGGTAGCCAGAGGATTTCTACAAAAACCTGGGCTGGATTACTCTAAAGTGTTTGCACCTGTAGCAAGACATGAAACAATCAAAATGGTGATTGCAATAGCTGCTAACAGGAATTGGCCTCTGATGCATTTAGATGTAAAATCTGCATTTCTGAACGGTCCATTAGAAGAAGAAGTTTACGTGTCACAACCTCCTGGATTTGTGAAAAAGAATCAGGAAGAGATGGTGTACAGATTATACAAAGCTCTATATGGATTGAAACAAGCGCCCAGAGCTTGGAATCAGAAGATTGATTCATTTTTCAAGAAGAAAGGCTTTCAGAAATGTGAGATG